AATTACCTTATCACACCAATACAAATTCCGTCCTATCCAGTCAACAGCAAGCCCGTCAGGATTTTGCAATGTATTCTGATGCAGGATTTCTGCAGTAGCGTTTGGTGTGTCTTTGCAAAGTCGTTTTATGGAACTACCAGCAGCGGTCACGTCTGACCAGAAAATGCATTCACTCATTAGGTCAAAATCGAGAGCTACAGCATTTGTTAAATTGTGAGCAACAAGAGTTGAGTGGCCGTCAAGGGTCAATTCGCGTATATAGTACCTAAGAAAAAAGATGTTTATTAGAAACGTACTTTGTATACATTACAGTGATTATAGTATTTAATAACCATATTAAATAATGAATATCTGTCAATTTCATATAAAGGATATTAATTTACCTGTTTGCTAACATTAGTTTGGCAGGTACAGTTGAGTTAGCGCGACAAGAATGCATGTCGGTTTTCATAATGTAGCCATCAACGCATCTACACACATATGAACCTAGCGTGTTGTGGCATGTCTGGCTACAGGGTCGATTGGCGCACTCGTCCACGTCATCACAAAGGTGGTTGTCTTTTGGGCTGATTTTGTAACCTTCCTTACATGAGCATGTGTAACCTACTTTCTCATCAGTACAATTCTGGGCACACGGTCGAGGTGCTGCGATACATTCATTAATATCTAAAACAAAAACACCATCTTAACGGAAAGATATATTTCATAATTATAACAGTTTGACGCCTAAGAAGAGAAAAACGTTTTTCTTCCAAAAATAAAATAATAGAGGAAATAAATTACAATAAAAAAATATTATACTGAATAATAATAGATAATATTTGCCCATTGCAGTAGAAGTATGCTCTTATAATTATAGATATTATACAGTGTAGTTATTTTTTTTAAAGACCAAATTTCTATAACTTTTTCTGTATTTCCTGATAAAATTTACGTAAGGAAATAAAAAGATGTGAATGTGAATCTTTATATTGCAATCATGAATACTTACTGCACTTGTTTTCGTCACTAAAATCGCCACAGTCATTCTCGCCATTACAGAGCATCGTCTCATTAATGCAGACTCCGTTTTTACACTGGAATCGTCCAGACGCTTTATCGCAAAGCTCTTTGCGACATTCGTCAGTCGTCTCATCCGAGTTGTCACCACAGTCGTCGTGCCCGTCGCACATTTGAGATCGAGTTATGCAATTTCCGTTAACACATCGATACTGTTTGGGGGTGCACTGGCTGTTCTTACGACACGCATGAGGCTCCTCATCCGATCCATCCACACAATCCAGATCACCATCGCAATAATACAATCGGTTTATGCACATCTTGTCTGCGCACTGGAACTGATTGGGTAGACATGTGGTTGGAGCACAACCGCCGGCTTCGCCCTCGTCTGCACGGTCCTGACAATCAGCCTCGCCGTCGCATACCCATCCTTTTGGTATGCAACGGCCGGTGCTGTTGCACCGAAATTCCCACAAACCGCAGGCACGATCTCGACAATGATCGCTCTCATCTGACAAATCTGGGCAGTCTGGTTGAGTATCACACTGCCATAATACAGGAATACAATCGCCATTCTTGCAGCGGAACTGATCGGCGCGACATTGATACTCTAAATTAAATAAAACAATAATATTAAATAAGAAATAAAAATTCAAAACATTTAAAAGCATTTTTATACCATTGGAGGTTAATGGGAAGGCGCCGCACACATATATTAATTTTATTTATTTTAATTTGCTAAATATAATATGCATTACAAATTTACTTACGACAACCTGTTTCATCTGAGTTATCGGTACAATCTGATATTCCATTACACCTTAAATTTGATGGAATGCATACTCCTGTTTCACACAGAAATTGATGTTTTTCACAGTAATTAGTATCTAAAAAGAAAAAAGAAATTAAAACTACAACGAAATGTATCTCGTACAATATAAACGAGTCCTATTCAATTAAGCTTACCTTAATGACAAAAAATATACATCTAAAGATGATAAATCAAAAAATTTTTAATGTTAAATTTTACATTACCACATTCAGCTTCATCAGAACTGGCGTTCACTCCTTTTCCATCCTTGCAGTCATCGATACCATTACATTTTACCCCGTAGGGCAGACATCGCCCATCGAGGCATCTAAACTCGTTCCACTGACACGTAACATTGGTGCAATTACGTTCGTCGGAATTGTCCCAGCAATCGTTTTCGCCATCACATATCCAATCTTTGTGTATACAAACCATCGTCTTTTCACAGTTTATCATCTTTGTATCTTTCATTTCTTGAACACAATTCACGGAAGCTAAAATAGAGATACAGTAAAACTCAACAGAGAGTGGTCAAGTACGTACTTAAAGATGTATAGAGGTAGAATACTTATCTAAATTCATTCATTTAAATTTCGTACTGTTTACTTACGGCATCCAATTTCGTCACTGAGATCCTTGCAGTCTGGATCTCGATCGCACATGAATTTCTTCATAATACATTCGCCACTGCCACACTTGAAATGGTCATCGTCCTTGCATGAGCAGTTTTTCTCGTCGCTATTATCACCACAGTCATCTTCGCCATTACACGTGACATTGTTAAAGATACAGCGCTTATTCAAACACTGATGCCAGCCCAACGGACACGTTCTATGTCCGCAATAACCAGCTTCTTCGTCTGAAGCGTCCGCGCAATGAGCCACGCCGTCACACGTGAGCTGGAAGGGAACGCAACCACCATCGGAACATCTACAAACAATGTGAATTTTATCCTCTTCTATTGCTGTTTTTATATCAAAAATAGGGAAAATCATATTAAGAAATTTCTGTAAATTAACTACAAAATAGTACTTAGACAATTTTAGTTTCAATTTAAAGGTATATACAGGGTGCTTCAAAAAAATGTATACACACTTTGAACTTCCAAACCGTTNGGCTCCACAACAACTCCTTCTTCAAATCCCATGAAGGACTTCGAAGTTACATCACCCCCGGACGACTCAATAAGTTCCCTAGCATTTTCTCCAGCGACAATTCATCAAAACTTTTTGATTGCTGGAAGTTGGGATAACAATGTCCGTTGTTGGGAAGTGGTCTGAGGGATCCCTGGTTACGCAATGAAGTGTGGCGTTATAATCCAGAGTATTTTGATACTTATAGAGGGAGAGTAACAAGTTTCTTCTTTAGAGGATTTAAGCTAGGATTTGCAGCCTTTGTTGTAACTATTGTTGGAACTGCTGTATATGATAACTTTTTTCCTTCTGATCATGGACATGGACATGGTTCCCATACTTCTGAACATTAAAATGAGTAAAGCAAAAAGTGCTATATAAATTATATGTTAAATATGTAGTCTAAATCTAAAAAGGAATGTATTGTATAAATATAAAAATGACAGACTAACTTTTACTATTATTTATCAATTTTAATTTTTAAAATACAAAGAAAAAGATTTCATTAAAAAATCGTAAAATATGCATGTAATGTAATAGTGATATTTAATTGAGTCAGCTGTCAGTTCCTATATTCATCGCCTGTTTCGTTCAAGATAAATGAATATATCTTATTCCATAACATCATAAATTTTACTTATGCTCTATTTCTATACTTCTGAACTATTATCTATGCTTCTGAAGTTCTAAAATGGTTCTAAACTATGCTTAACCTAAAAAATAATAGAATTTAGAAATGATTTTAAATTGACATTTGTTCAGTGTCTGGTTATGTAAGGGGTGTTTTTTAAGGTTGTTACAATAAAATAGGACTACTAAACATTTCGTAATTAAAAATGTCTCTCGGTTTTGTACAACGACGATTTATGAGTAGTGCACTTCAAAAATTTGCTTATAATTTATCAGGATTTCACAAATATGGTTTAATGAGAGACGATGTCCTTTTCGAAAATGATGATGTTAAAGAAGCTCTACGACGCATTCCACAGAAGGTTATTGATGAAAGAAATTACCGAATGTTAAGAGCCATGCAGCTATCATTACAAAAGGAAATTTTGCCAAAAGAACAGTGGACAAAACTTGAAGAGGATAAATTATATCTCACTCCAATCGTGGAACAAGTCATCAAAGAACGCAATGAACGAGAAGAGTGGGAAAAAGATCATTAAATTAAAGTAGAAAACTAAAAAGTAGTCCTTAAAATTTTAGTAAAACATTAATTTATGGATGTTTAAAATAAATTCTTGTAAATAATCAAATTATTTTATTTCTATCTGCACAAATATCTTTCAGTGTAATAAATTTACAAAGGGGATGAAATGTATGATAAAACAAAAAAGACAATGAGGTGTTTGTGCTATTTTTTTAAAAATATATTTGCTTAAAAAATAAGTTTGGGAAACTAAACCTAAAAAGTTAAAATAATATGTAAATGCACTTACAATCTACCATTTACATTAGTTTTCATCATCTTCAATTTTTGGAGCCAAATAGTAACGAATATAACCCAATTCTGCAATTTCATATTCTACTACCAAAGGAACATTGCTGGACATGGACAGCTGCACTCTTGGTGAAAGCGGTGTAGCCTTTGTAAATGAAATTAAATACTGACATGCAAATGATAGTGAAACAGGTTCTTGCATTTCAATAGAGACAGATTCTTCTTCTTTATCAAAATTATTAGTTTGAGCCAACTTCACATTAGCACTTCCTACATCACCAGAAACAGAGAATTTCACACCTTCCTTTGTGCAGCAAATCAATACTGTTTCACCAAATTGTGCCAAATCCCTCACAATTCGTGCAAATTCTACTGATGGCATGCGAATTACACATGAAAAGTCAGTTTCAGGGATACCAAGGTGTTCTTGGTCCAAGTTCATGAGCTTCATTTCATAGTCAGATATTTTTTCTTGTTTTTTTGATTCAAATACAAATGTAACGGTATCTGCATCATCCTGAGCCTTAATTGTAACTGTATCATCGTTGTTAGCACATTTTAATATCTTGCTCATACTAAAATAAAAGCAAATGTTATGGAAAATGTGAATAAAATTATTGCACAAACTAACCTGGCTAAGTTCATTCCCATTGTAAGGCTTCGATCACATCTGTATTTATCAAAACCGTCTGATCGTAAAGTTAAGGATACTAAACTAACATGTGAATTATCCATGGCCTGCAATTGTATGCCTGAATCAGAACAATCAAAAGAGGCCTCATTCAGAAGTTCTTTAACCGCCTCTAAAACTTTTTTTAAAGTTGCGGCACTAGTAAGTCTTGCTTCAAACATTTTAATAAGTGAACCAAGTATAAAATACGAATCAAATATGCAAGTAAAATAACAATTTTACAGGCTTAAACGGTGTGATATATGAACACCTTAAAACATACGAGTAATCTAACCTTTTCGATTAACAAAGTAATACGAAAACAAGGATCACAAAGGCGCCAAAAGGTTGAAACTTGGCGGTTGAATAAAAACTATTACATCGAATTTTTATTGTATCTAAAATAGAAAATGTGTCTAACACAAACTAATTTTCGACGTTATACTCACAATGATGCGCGATTTGCTCCAAACATATTCTCCATAGATAGTCTCTAAAAACATGAAATGCAAGAGTCCAGAAGATGATCCAGAAGTGTTGCAGATCGTTTAAAATCAAATAAGTGTTGGGAAAGTGAAATTCAGAAGTTATAACTATAAGAAACCTGTTTAGTGATTTTGTGAATTTCACTGATAACGGTGTTAGAATAAAATTCATTGTATGTTCAACCAAAGTACTCACCCTGGGGGTTTCGGCTCCACAACAACTCCTTCTTCAAATCCCATGAAGGACTTCGAAGTTACATCACCCCCGGACGACTCAATAAGTTCCCTAGCATTTTCTCCAGCGACAATTTCTCAAAACTTTTTGATTGCTGGAAGTTGGGATAACAATGTCCGTTGTTGGGAAGTGGAACAAACTGGAAAAACTGTAGCAAAAGCTATGCAAACATGTGGGGGACCTGTTTTAGATGTGTGTTGGAGTGATGATGGCTCAAAAGTTTTTATGGCTGGTTGTGATAAACAGGCCAAAGTTTGGGACTTGGCAAGCAATCAAGTTATGCAAGTGGCTCAGCATGATGCTCCAATAAAGACTTGTCACTGGATAAAAGCACCAACATATTCATGTTTAATGACAGGCTCCTGGGATAAGACCCTCAAATTTTGGGATACACGAAGCAATCAACCATTGATGAGTATCACTTTATCAGAAAGAGTTTACTGTGCAGATGTTGATTATCCAATGGCTGTAGTGGGAACTGCAGGGCGACAAATTTTAGTATATCAGCTGGAAAACAAGCCTCAGGAATTCAAAAGACTGGAAAGTCCATTAAAGTATCAGCATCGATGTGTTTCAATTTTTAGGTAAATATTTATTTATTTTGTTTTGTTCGCTTCTTATATGGTTTTTTACTACAGAGATAAAAATAAAAGTCCAACTGGATATGCTCTTGGCTCAGTAGAAGGACGAGTGGCTATTCAATATGTGAATCCTACAAATCCCAAGGACAATTTCACATTTAAATGTCACAGATCAAATGGTACACCAAATGGTTATCAAGACATTTATGCAGTAAATGATATCGCTTTTCATCCGGTCCATGGCACTTTGGCGACAGTGGGATCTGATGGAACATTTAGTTTCTGGGACAAAGATGCCCGTACAAAATTAAAACCATCAGAAACTATGGAACAACCAATTACAAGATGCGCTTTTAATCATAACGGCCAAATTTTTGCCTATGCTGTGAGCTATGATTGGAGTAAAGGCCATGAATTTTTTAATCCATTAAAAAAGAACTACATATTTTTGCGTTCATGTTATGACGAATTGAAACCAAGAAGCACAAGTAATTAAGTGCTTTTTTTGCTTTTAATAATGTATTAATCTCTATAATAATCAACTTTGTAATAGCTAAAGAAATAAATATTCATTTTAAGAAAATGAGATGGTTTTTATAGAGTACGTAAATCAGTGAAAACACGAAAACGCAATTTATATTTCTAATATATAAGCAATAAATTACAAAATTATTAAGAAGAGTATTTTTCCTACTTTGTAATGAAACAGTAAGAATAACACTTTGTAAAAAAAGTTATTTTGCATGCTTAGCAGAATAATACTTGGTACCATTGACAGTGGAGACTCTTGCATACTTGGCTAAAAGAGCAGTAACATCCAGTTTAGGAGATGTTAAAGACCTTGAATGAAAGAAACAAGTTAATTTTACTATTTCCAAGTATTACAGAAAGACTATAGATAGGTATGTACAAAAAAATACAAATACTATAACTTTGAGCCAAATTACCCATAGTTAGCTGACTGGCTTTTAGTGCAAGTTGGAAGTCTTGTATTAATTGGGAATTGTAAATACTTACCTAACATAAGGGGTAATTTCAGGAACAGTCCACTTTTCTTTAACATCAAAAAGGATTTTAAAACGTTCGTGAATATTTTCTGGAAGATCCTCTTCAGCAAAAGCTCGGATACTTGGAGGATTTGACTTCTTATTTATGACTGATATACCATAAAGCATTTCTTCCTTGGGAATCATCCCTTCTGGAACAGATTCTTGCCAAGCTTGTAAGAATTCATTCAAATTAAATTTTCCTGCATGCAACAATAATATCTGAGCAAAAAAACGGCACACTTCTTCCTCTTTATATTTATAAAGCTGTACTCCATCTATTACTTTTGACTCAACTGTGTACTTTTCAAAGAGAGAAGTTAGTATTTCCTTAGGTACAATATCACTTAAGCTATCAATTGTATCTTCATAAACAATTTCATCTAGGAGCCAGGAATTTTCTTCAATAAGTTTTAACATGTAAGATAATACCCTAAAATGATATTCTTGCTCTAAAAGACGAATTTTTCCATTTATAGTTACAACAGGCATCGCATTTAAAATATTTCTCAGTTCTAGTTCTGATGTTTGTGCCTTCTGAAGTAAATCATCAAAAGAACATAGGTCACACTCATTAACATCACATTCTAATTCTGGTCCTCTGTAGATAGTTTTATTGAGTACCTCTCGGATTTTGGATAAACGTGGCATGGATAAAACTGGTTCTAAGTAATCATTGAATATGCTAAATACATCAACTTTTATTGAACTACACCCTAATTTATCACAGGCTCCTTCAAAAAAATTTAAATCTTTTACAGCTAACAAACTATTAGAGGTTTCAGTCTCTAACAAATTGTATGTGCACATGTCAGTACACAGAACTGCATTATCATCATCTTGTCCTCTTATGTATAAACTTTCGCCTTTTTCTAACGTAGACAACAAATGATTGTCAAGTTGTAGCAACTTATAGTTTTTAGAAAAAACATTTGTTGAGGCAAAATACACCATTTGGGATGATGGCAGGAGTTCATTTTTATCCAATTTTGCAAGTAGTAATGCATCATCTATTTCAGCTTTTGTTCTTACACAGCTACAAAAAATATAGGGTAAACATTCATTTACTGATTTTTAAATATAATTTTCTTACTCGTTTGTATTATCCATATTTCATTAAAAACTTACACATACGTAACAAGAAATTGTGAGCCCCGTAATGAATATATATTTTGTCTTTAATATACTATATAAATGCAAAAATAATATGATACTTTAAATAATTTCCACTTAACATTTCTAGTTGTAAAATTTTATTTTATTTTTCAGGTTACTTTTCCGCTCTTTTTATTCGAAAATCAGTGGTTTAATCATCGATTTTCGAATTTATCAAGGAATGTTTATTACATCGAAAATAGTTGTCTAACTTGAAGACTTGGAGTATATATTACCAAAGGTAGTTTACTGTTTACTATTTGCTAATAAGTGCAAAAGGAATTATGGACATGTGGTTAATCAGTCATTTAAATTAGAACTGTATTTAAACAAGATAAAATAAATATAATCGATAAAACGCAAAACTCATTTCTCTAATTTTCTACCATTCATGTTGTCTACACATAACAAGTTGCTTCCAATGGTATATACTTTAAATTACAGGATTATTATAATAAAAATCATAGATCATAGACAAATCATAGATTAATAATTCTATGACATTTGAAAATGTATTGATAGCCCCAGTAACGACAAAATAGTTTAATTATTGCTTTGTACTTTTCCATTCTGTACGTCATGTTTGTTATAAAAGTGTATTAAACATTGTTGGACTTTAAGAAAATACTAAAGAAAAATACTTGTAGATATAATAAGCATTATTGGCATCTTTTAAAACGTATTTCAAAGGATGTGATTAATCTCAAGTTACGTATGTGTTCACATTAATGGATGCATGGTTATTAGATATAATAATTTACTTGAATATAAAAAATTACAACATCTTTATTAAACTGGAAAAAGCATGAATGGAGATACAATATTAAGAAGTTCAAATGTTAACCTTTCAATACCACAAGCTGGAAGTAGCAGAAATGTTCCATTGTTGCCCCCCAGACCTTCATCATCAACAGGCTCCTCTGGATACGTAAACAACTTCGGCGCCTATGGTCCTTATCAGTCACCATATTCGTGTATGTTCAGTTCAATACTTGTAATGTTACATTTATTTTTAACTTTAAACAAAGCATTTTATCTTTTTCTGTTTTTGTTTTGTTTTAGCTTATGGATACAATTCATTTAACACAATGCCTTACAGAGGCATGGGTTTTGGTTCATTTGGTTATGGTAATTTTGGAAACTATAATACTTATGGTGTGAATAATTATAACTCTTTTGCGCCTACAGATGATGCAGAAAGAAGGTTTGTGGTATTTGTGCTAAAGAGAGACAAAACTGAATATAAATTTATATTGCAGATTTATCCAGTATGCTGAAGAACGTTCAAGGTCTGCATTTGCAAGTGTAGAAAGTGTTGTTAGAACAATAAGTAGTGTATCAATGATGTTAGATAATACGTTTTTTGCAATGATCAGTTCATTTCGTGCTATTTTGGGTGTTGCTGAAAGTTTTGGTCATATGAGAAACATGTTTGGACAGATATGGCATTCCATAAGCCTCTACAGGCTGTTTAACTGGTTGTACAGAAAAATCATGTCTATATTTGGTTTCAAAGTTGCAAATGCTGCTGTTAATGTGGCTTGGAATGAAGTAACTTCTCCTTCACATGCACAATTTGTCGCAGCAAATGATACTGTAAATAGCAGTTGGCCTACACTTGCATTTTTTGGCATTCTCATGTCTGCTCCTTACATTATTAGCAAATTATTCTTGCCAAAGTATCAGGGTGAGTATTACATAATTTAATTATATTTATGGTAAATATTGAGATTTCATGTTTATCAAATAGTTTTGGCCTAAAACAATTATTCCATCTTTGAGTTGAACATATATAACTAGATTAGTAATAGAACTTTAAATTAATTGATATAAGTAAACTAACTTTTTATAGGTACATTCTTAATTGTGATAAACAATTTATGTTTTCAAAGAAAATATATTTTGTGCTGCTGTAAATACCTAGTTGTAAAATGATAAAATATAAACAATTTAGTTTATCAATGATAATAATCATTGTAATAAATTAGTACAATAATTAACAGATAAAAACTTTATGTCGCCTGCTTGGTTTTTTTATTTACTTACAATTTTGATGTAATAATGCCCTGTTTTTCCTATTACGGTTTGTTTTGCTAAAAGTTTTATTGCAATCTTTTATAGTTGTTTATTTGTTCTTCGCTTATAATTGCAGTAAATATTGTGCAATAAATTCAACTTTAACTTTTTAACTATGTTACTTGCCGAATATTAATTATATTAATTTGTTAATTAAAAATTTTTGATAAATTTCCTTTACAAAGGAAAAACGTTTTGTAATACTCGTATGTAACGGCAAGAATTTATTAAATAGGAACTGATGATAAGCATAACTCCATTCAACAAAATTCACTAACTCTTGAAATTGCGTGACGCTTGATTCATGCTTAATACTATAGGTTTAATTTTAAAAATACGCAAATTTTAGACAGATATAATCCCGAAAAATGGAAGAACCCCGGAGTAAGGGCGAAAGCGGCATTCGATTTTGTAGCAACAAATCCAAACGAGATGAGCCTTAAAGTTAATGATGAAATTTTATTGGCACCTACTTACATTCAGGAAGAAATGAAATTGACAAATTCTGGTTGGGCTTTGGCACTTGGTAACGGAAAATCTGGTTTAATTCCATTGAATTACATCGTTTTCGTAAAGAAGAACAATGGAGTATTAAAATCATCCAGAGATGACAAAGACATTCCTGTACCAAGAATATTTCCGAAACGTGTTAGTTTTGGGGAAAACCAAATAATCGAAACAAACACTTCCGAACCAGTCATTGCAATATCACAAGCGCAAAAATCTGCGGATAACAGCAGCCCCACATTACCTGAAAGTAATAATAAAAATAGTAATAATGACGAAAATAATAAATGAAATTAATAAGTAATTGTATCTTATATTTTTTTTTTTAATACATATACTTAACAGAAGCTATGATAAATAGATACTTTGTGGTTTGTAGGAGAAAGCTAGTCTTTTATGCTCAACAATTGTAGTATAGCAGGTGTTGTTGACTAATTATGTACCTAATTTGATTATATTTTAGTTTTTGTTATTTCTTTTGTAATGCATACATTTTTGTACGTTTAATTTTATATGTTTGTCAGCGATGGGTCAAAACTTTTTAATAAATAGTAAAGTTTTTGGTAAAGTTGTATTATTTGTTTATTTTTGGATGACAAGGTAAGAAAAAAGGATAAATTCAATAACTACTTGCTTTGTGATAATTTATCGTATTGATAATAACAATTAATTTTAAAAAACAATTTTTATCGAAGATAAACAAGAACAAAAACATGTTCCTTTAATAATGGTACTATATAGGTACCGTTTTCTCGCAATAATTATATGATAACGAGTTTCTTATATTTTATATAAACAGTTAATGATATCGTATTATGATTAAAAAAATTTTTAAATACTTTATTGCTAAAAGACCCTNGTAACTAATTTATATTGACATTTTTTAAGTTAAATCAGTTTTCAAAAGGATTGAAACAAACCCCAAATATTATATGAAGAATAATTTCCTGAGCCAGGTAATGTGGGTGCAACTATGCAATACTGTAGTTCTCCAGAATTGTCATTATAAACCCACTGGTTGCTGATATATGTTGTTCTGGTAGCTTCAGCTAGAGCAGTGACCATATCCACCTCTCCAGATTCAATTTCTCTGTGTACTTAATTAGTTAATATGACATTTACTTTACTGTAGTACTTACTGACTACTTACATTTTAGGAAGTACAATTGAAATGGGAAAAATATACTGAACAAGTTGTTGAATTCTTGTTTTGACAACATTTTGCAATTGAGCTTGTTCATTTAATATTTTATCTTTTAATCTTTGATTGTCTTCTCTTCTAGATGCCACATATAAGCCCAACTTCTCCACTCTTTCTTCATACTTTGGCAAGCTTTTTGTCAACTTTTCATTTTTACCAATTATTTCGATTATTTTTGCTTTATAAGTTTTTTGTTTTTCTCTTCTATCTTTCAAAGAGAGCCTCAAAATTTCAATTCTATCTCTTGATTGTCTAATTTTGGATCCCTGAAAGTAATATCAATTTAAAAAAATAATGATGATACAGGTTAATAAACTTTTGACAGTTGTTATAATACAAACCAAAACGTCGATTTTTTGTTTCCTTTCTAACTTATCTAAACAATTATCTTCGACCGCTTTTCTTGCTGCTTTAAGTTGTAATAACTTTATTTGCTTGTCGGCATACCTATAATTAATAAAACATATTCAAATATTCAAATTACTGAATGATTTTCAAACAACCTTTCTGGACACTGAGAACTACTTTTATAAATATCTCCGTTATGCACACACTCCTTGCAGTAAAAAACTTTCCTATAATTGTTACATAACTGGCACCTATAATAATTAGGACTGATGCGGCTGCCACTGTCTAAGGACGAAGACAGCTGAAAATCTTTAGGAACTGATGTGCTGTCGTCTGAATTTGTAGTCGCCATAACAATATTTGTTTTCAATTGTTTTGTTATACAATTGTACTACCAGATAATAAAAAATAAATACCCTATAAGCTAAAATGTAGTATCAAAAGTACCACCGATGGTCCCATCCCATATTTAAAATGAAAAAGTAAAAGTGATTCTACGAATTTTTACTGAAAGTACAAGCTGTACAAAATTATAACTTAACCCTTTAGTATCACAAATTGTTTTAAAGTAATAATTGCATCTACATGCTTATAACATTAAATTCTTATATATTCAATGTTGAAATACGCTTAATATCTATGTTACAAAATTTGTAGAAATATAATCTTGATAATATTTATTGTTATGTAATTTGTATGTAATGTGGCTATAAATACTATTCTTAACTAAATTTTAGATTTTTGAGCAGATTTTGTTTGTTATTAAGGGGCTCAGATATAAATAAAAGAAAGTTTTTGTACAAAATTTAAATAACTAGAAAAATCAAATTAAATTGATATTATAAAGGCAAACTGTTTTTGAGTTTAAAAGAACGTTTTTTTCATGTGGTTGTAAATTATAAAAATGTTCACCTATGTAATTACACATATTCTGCTAAGTAAACGTATTCTTTACGTGTCTTATCTGTTATTTACAGATACGTTCAATTCAAAACAAATCCTACCACTATTTTGTATAAAATTGTTTCCCTTATATTTACTTATTTAGTTTTGAAAACGTGTAATACTTTAATATTTTTAAAAAGATTAAATTTAGCATTAAAGTTCAACATAATCTTGGTACACTGTACTATTTTTTACACGCTCGCTTCAGACTTAAATTGAAAAACCGTTTACCAATTTAGAAGGCAGTGGCAGTTGCTATCAAAATAGTTTTAAGAATGTTTTTTTTTTAATTCTAATTAGATTTAATAATAGACGAAATGGCCACCGATGAGATTAACTATTTAAACGAAATATAATATGAACAAACATTTTAATGTACGGATTATTTTCATTAGAAAAACGCTCCTAAAACTCTACCAAAGCATTTCGTAAAATTGAATTGAAAAATATACATACTTTATTTCTTATCACGCTAAGCATTAAACTTTTACAACAGGTACAACTACTTTAACAACGTCAAATAGATAAAATAATGCACTCTATCAACGAGTTATAATTTTTTCATTTTGACAATTCGATAAATTCTCATATTACAATATTATAATGTGCAATTTTAATTAAGAGCCACCCGCGTTATATAAATACATTTGTAAAACCAACTGCACTGATGTGTATAAAGTTTTAAATTTTAATTTGAATGATCTTCAAATGAAAAGTGACTTTTGAAACAAGGGCAAAATACTTTAAATGTCTGTTTTCAAACATGATAATAAATAGTCACCTATCGAGGGCGGTTTTTAAAATATAGAAAAAACTACCTGCCTGTCCAACCCTTCCATATTGATACTATACTATTAGCAGCACTGGTAACAAGACCACCTGCTACACTAGACGCTTGTTGTGTACTCGTCATTTGCGTGGGAAGCGGGAGATTGACCGGACCTGCTGGTACCTCAGGACACTGAATATGGGGTACCTAAAACATACAAAATAATTGATGGCCTACAAACCCAAACAGAAATACTTAAAAGTAACTGAAAATTGAAGAAACTTACAGCTTCCCATTCACAAGGAAAACTATCACCCTCTTCTGAATCAGAATCTTCACTGGTTTGCAGATCGTTAGCTATTTGGTCCTCCAAGTCGAGCGCCATTTGAGTATCAGCCTCTATGGGCCCTCTTCTGAAAATATATTAATTTAGAATATGCATGAGTATATACAGTGTTCCATATACTACTATTATATGGAAACAAGAAAGTTGAGGACCTAGTGGGCTTTCTGAAACAACATTACGATCCTCTTCATTTCTGTTTTTGTTTAGCACTATGTTTTGGGATACTCTATACTATACTAAACAAGTAGACTAAATGGATATCCCAAAAAGATAAAAAAATGATTTTGACTAAAAATATTTAAAACTGAAAACTAACTAAATTAATACAATTTCTTCTTTTATGGCTTTAAATTTTGTAGTATATACTTTATTATTTGATTTATGTAATGTAAAATTTAGTTTTATAAATTCAAAATCAGGACACTTGATTTGCATACCTGCCTAGATCAGTTATATTAGTATCTAATAATTGTAGTATGTTATGTAAAGTCCTGGTGGGATGCAAAGAGTTTAAACTGGTGTTTTGTGTGAAACACAAGTGCAATATATTTGCATTAAGTCTTGCTACCCTTCGAGAGAATTGTTGCTCAGGCATATCACTACTACAAAAATCACTAAAACATTGAAAGCATAAATATATAACATTAAAATGTTTAAGTTCTTATTTTACCTGTAAGACATCCTGTAGGGCAGTCGAACATCTAAATAAAATGCTATAATGCTGATCAGCTGTGCAGTATATGTTAGAGCAGCACTTATGCTATATGCTGGATTATGGTCAACTGCAATTGTAGAACTACTTCCAGGAACAGCATCTTTATTTTGAGCAACTAAAATTTCATATTTATTTATCAAATGTAACTAATTTATATTGACATTTTTTAAGTTAAATCAGTTTTCAAAAGGATTGAAACAAACCCCAAATATTATATGAAGAATAATTTCCTGAGCCAGGTAATGTGGGTGCAACTATGCAATACTGTAGTTCTCCAGAATTGTCATTATAAACCCACTGGTTGCTGATATATGTTGTTCTGGTAGCTTCAGCTAGAGCAGTGACCATATCCACCTCTCCAGATTCAATTTCTCTGTGTACTTAATTAGTTAATATGACATTTACTTTACTGTAGTACTTACTGACTACTTACATTTTAGGAAGTACAATTGAAATGGGAAAAATGTACTGAACAAGTTGTTGAATTCTTGTTTTGACAACATTTTGCAATTGAGCTTGTTCATTTAATATTTTATCTTTTAATCTTTGATTGTCTTCTCTTCTAGATGCCACATATAAGCCCAACTTCTCCACTCTTTCTTCATACTTTGGCAAGCTTTTTGTCAACTTTTCATTTTTACCAATTATTTCGATTATTTTTGCTTTATAAGTTTTTTGTTTTTCTCTTCTATCTTTCAAAGAGAGCCTCAAAATTTCAATTCTATCTCTTGATTGTCTAATTTTGGATCCCTGAAAGTAATATCAATTTAAAAAAATAATGATGATACAGGTTAATAAACTTTTGACAGTTGTTATAATACAAACCAAAACGTCGATTTTTTGTTTCCTTTCTAACTTATCTAAACAATTATCTTCGACCGCTTTTCTTGCTGCTTTAAGTTGTAATAACTTTATTTGCTTGTCGGCATACCTATAATTAATAAAACATATTCAAATATTCAAATTACTGAATGATTTTCAAACAACCTTTCTGGACACTGAGAACTACTTTTATAAATATCTCCGTTATGCACACACTCCTTGCAGTAAAAAACTTTCCTATAATTGTTACATAACTGGCACCTATAATAATTAGGACTGATGCGGCTGCCACTGTCTAAGGACGAAGACAGCTGAAAATCTTTAGGAACTGATGTGCTGTCGTCTGAATTTGTAGTCGCCATAACAATATTTGTTTTCAATTGTTTTGTTATACAATTGTACTACCAGATAATAAAAAATAAATACCCTATAAGCACTAAAATGTAGTATCAAAAGTACCACCGATGGTCCCATCCCATATTTAAAATGTACTTAATTTTTTTTGTCAACAAAACATAAAAATAAATAAACAGTGAAATAATAAATCAAACATGTATCTAATTTTAAAATGAATACTTTTATGATATACATTCAAATTTCTTGAATGAAGATAAAGTTCGTATCCTTTAACACAACCAACTCATTATTAAAATAAATAATAATATGAAAATGGCTGCACCACACAGGGAAGCATTTCAAAAACAAATTCAGCAAGATTGGGCAAATAGAGAGTATATTGAAATTATTACTGTAAGCATTAAGAAAATAACCGACTTTTTAAATTCGTTTGGTAAGAGAAATTCGTTTCTTTGATATATTGGAAATTTATTTCGTTTATTGCAGATATGTCGTGTCGTTCAAAATTGGCAACATTAAATGAAAAATTAACCACCTTAGAAAGGAAAATAGATTNTTTTGAAACAAGGGCAAAATACTTTAAATGTCTGTTTTCAAACATGATAATAAATAGTCACCTATCGAGGGCGGTTTTTAAAATATAGAAAAAACTACCTGCCTGTCCAACCCTTCCATATTGATACTATACTATTAGCAGCACTGGTAACAAGACCACCTGCTACACTAGACGCTTGTTGTGTACTCGTCATTTGCGTGGGAAGCGGGAGATTGACCGGACCTGCTGGTACCTCAGGACACTGAATATGGGGTACCTAAAACATACAAAATAATTGATGGCCTACAAACCCAAACAGAAATACTTAAAAGTAACTGAAAATTGAAGAAACTTACAGCTTCCCATTCACAAGGAAAACTATCACCCTCTTCTGAATCAGAATCTTCACTGGTTTGCAGATCGTTAGCTATTTGGTCCTCCAAGTCGAGCGCCATTTGAGTATCAGCCTCTATGGGCCCTCTTCTGAAAATATATTAATTTAGAATATGCATGAGTATATACAGTGTTCCATATACTACTATTATATGGAAACAAGAAAGTTGAGGACCTAGTGGGCTTTCTGAAACAACATTACGATCCTCTTCATTTCTGTTTTTGTTTAGCACTATGTTTTGGGATACTTATCGTATTATGATTAAAAAAATTTTTAAATACTTTATTGCTAAAAGACCCTGTGTGGTTTATGTTTTTTGTTTATTAGGTTAGAAGGGATGGGGTTACTTTAGTTATAAATTAAATAATACATAACAAACAAAGTAGTACGTCATCAATAAAAATTAAGAACTAAAAGTAACAAGATTTGCAGTTGAAATTAATAAATGAGCAAATAAATTGCTTACAAGTTAAAAAAGGCACGGATGAATTGTGTTGAACTAACCTCTACAAAAAAATGAATTAACATTCTATGATTCTTTTTATTAGAAAATTCATGTCCTTATCTATGTATCATGCCCTGTCGTCAAACTTTGTCGAACCTTGTCTATGTGACAAACACTGTCAAACATAGGGAAGGTAAATGTCAAAGTCAAAGAGGCATCAAATGAATTATAACAATCAAAAATTTTGCAAATAGTAGTTATTTATGTAGACTTTTTTTTGAAAATGGGTAGTTATGCTAGAGCAGTTATGACTGGATTTATTTGCAGGCTGTGTTCAGAACAAAAACGATACGTAATACATTTTTATGGGGTTAAAGCGAAGGAATTGCAGCTGCTTGAGAAGCTGACTTTACTTCCAATTACAGTAAGTCAGCGATAACTGCTTTAAATGTGTTGTAATAATTATTTTTTTAATAGGTAGAGAAGTATGATAATCTTCCTAAAACAATATGTGAAGAATGCATAGAGAAGTTAAATCTACAATACAATTTAGTGCAAAAAATTAGAAGAAGTATGTCCATTCAAAGAAGGCATAGACTTTACCATGTAAGTAAACTGATGAGTGTTGTTGTCTCAAGGTGTATTTCTTTATCCATTTTTTGCAAATCCAATAAGTCAAATTTAAATTTTAGAGTAATGGTCGCTGTCCTGTCGAATGTCCTCTTCATGGGGTAGAAAATGCTCTTGAAGGTGGTTCTAATGGAGGAATATTTATTTCTGTTGAAGACTTTGATGAAACTAATAATGATAATGAAACATAACCTTTGTATATCAATACTACATTTTCAGTTTCGAAATTGGTTATTAAAAAGTGTGATAAGGAATTTTTAATCATAATTAGAATTCTATTTATTTTGTGATATGTTGTATGAAAAACTGAGTTTGTTACTTTTTGTCTTACAAGCATTCAATTTAGATTAAGTATTTGTATGAATTGGCTAGGTAACATATACATGTATATTATATTAATTACTTATTAAATTAAATTTATCTTATATATCCTTTATACATAGCTCTATGTGTTTATTCACTGAGTATTACCTTTCCAAATCAACTACTGTAATAAAACTTTTTGGGCCCATATTAATGAAAAAGTAAAAGTGATTCTACGAATTTTTACTGAAAGTACAAGCTGTACAAAATTATAACTTAACCCTTTAGTATCACAAATTGTTTTAAAGTAATAATTGCATCTACATGCTTATAACATTAAATTCTTATATATTCAATGTTGAAATACGCTTAATATCTATGTTACAAAATTTGTAGAAATATAATCTTGATAATATTTATTGTTATGTAATTTGTATGTAATGTGGCTATAAATACTATTCTTAACTAAATTTTAGATTTTTGAGCAGATTTTGTTTGTTATTAAGGGGCTCAGATATAAATAAAAGAAAGTTTTTGTACAAAATTTAAATAACTAGAAAAATCAAATTAAATTGATATTATAAAGGCAAACTGTTTTTGAGTTTAAAAGAACGTTTTTTTCATGTGGTTGTAAATTATAAAAATGTTCACCTATGTAATTACACATATTCTGCTAAGTAAACGTATTCTTTATGTGTCTTATCTGTTATTTACAGATACGTTCAATTCAAAACAAATCCTACCACTATTTTGTATAAAATTGTTTCCCTTATATTTACTTATTTAGTTTTGAAAACGTGTAATACTTTAATATTTTTAAAAAGATTAAATTTAGCATTAAAGTTCAACATAATCTTGGTACACTGTACTATTTTTTACACGCTCGCTTCAGACTTAAATTGAAAAACCGTTTACCAATTTAGAAGGCAGTGGCAGTTGCTATCAAAATAGTTTTAAGAATGTTTTTTTTTTAATTCTAATTAGATTTAATAATAGACGAAATGGCCACCGATGAGATTAACTATTTAAACGAAATATAATATGAACAAACATTTTAATGTATGGATTATTTTCATTAGAAAAACGCTCCTAAAACTCTACCAAAGCATTTCGTAAAATTGAATTGAAAAATATACATACTTTATTTCTTATCACGCTAAGCATTAAACTTTTACAACAGGTACAACTACTTTAACAACGTCAAATAGATAAAATAATGCACTCTATCAACGAGTTATAACTTTTTCATTTTGACAATTCGATAAATTCTCATATTACAATATTATAATGTGCAATTTTAATTAAGAGCCACCCGCGTTATATAAATACATTTGTAAAACCAACTGCACTGATGTGTATAAAGTTTTAAATTTTAATTTGAATGATCTTCAAATGAAAAGTGACTTTTGAAACAAGGGCAAAATACTTTAAATGTCTGTTTTCAAACATGATAATAAATAGTCACCTATCGAGGGCGGTTTTTAAAATATAGAAAAAACTACCTGCCTGTCCAACCCTTCCATATTGATACTATACTATTAGCAGCACTGGTAACAAGACCACCTGCTACACTAGACGCTTGTTGTGTACTCGTCATTTGCGTGGGAAGCGGGAGATTGACCGGACCTGCTGGTACCTCAGGACACTGAATATGGGGTACCTAAAACATACAAAATAATTGATGGCCTACAAACCCAAACAGAAATACTTAAAAGTAACTGAAAATTGAAGAAACTTACAGCTTCCCATTCACAAGGAAAACTATCACCCTCTTCTGAATCAGAATCTTCACTGGTTTGCAGATCGTTAGCTATTTGGTCCTCCAAGTCGAGCGCCATTTGAGTATCAGCCTCTATGGGCCCTCTTCTGAAAATATATTAATTTAGAATATGCATGAGTATATACAGTGTTCCATATACTACTATTATATGGAAACAAGAAAGTTGAGGACCTAGTGGGCTTTCTGAAACAACATTACGATCCTCTTCATTTCTGTTTTTGTTTAGCACTATGTTTTGGGATACTCTATACTATACTAAACAAGTAGACTAAATGGATATCCCAAAAAGATAAAAAAATGATTTTGACTAAAAATATTTAAAACTGAAAACTAACTAAATTAATACAATTTCTTCTTTTATGGCTTTAAATTTTGTAGTATATACTTTATTATTTGATTTATGTAATGTAAAATTTAGTTTTATAAATTCAAAATCAGGACACTTGATTTGCATACCTGCCTAGATCAGTTATATTAGTATCTAATAATTGTAGTATGTTATGTAAAGTCCTGGTGGGATGCAAAGAGTTTAAACTGGTGTTTTGTGTGAAACACAAGTGCAATATATTTGCATTAAGTCTTGCTACCCTTCGAGAGAATTGTTGCTCAGGCATATCACTACTACAAAAATCACTAAAACATTGAAAGCATAAATATATAACATTAAAATGTTTAAGTTCTTATTTTACCTGTAAGACATCCTGTAGGGCAGTCGAACATCTAAATAAAATGCTATAATGCTGATCAGCTGTGCAGTATATGTTAGAGCAGCACTTATGCTATATGCTGGATTATGGTCAACTGCAATTGTAGAACTACTTCCAGGAACAGCATCTTTATTTTGAGCAACTAAAATTTCATATTTATTTATCAAATGTAACTAATTTATATTGACATTTTTTAAGTTAAATCAGTTTTCAAAAGGATTGAAACAAACCCCAAATATTATATGAAGAATAATTTCCTGAGCCAGGTAATGTGGGTGCAACTATGCAATACTGTAGTTCTCCAGAATTGTCATTATAAACCCACTGGTTGCTGATATATGTTGTTCTGGTAGCTTCAGCTAGAGCAGTGACCATATCCACCTCTCCAGATTCAATTTCTCTGTGTACTTAATTAGTTAATATGACATTTACTTTACTGTAGTACTTACTGACTACTTACATTTTAGGAAGTACAATTGAAATGGGAAAAATGTACTGAACAAGTTGTTGAATTCTTGTTTTGACAACATTTTGCAATTGAGCTTGTTCATTTAATATTTTATCTTTTAATCTTTGATTGTCTTCTCTTCTAGATGCCACATATAAGCCCAACTTCTCCACTCTTTCTTCATACTTTGGCAAGCTTTTTGTCAACTTTTCATTTTTACCAATTATTTCGATTATTTTTGCTTTATAAGTTTTTTGTTTTTCTCTTCTATCTTTCAAAGAGAGCCTCAAAATTTCAATTCTATCTCTTGATTGTCTAATTTTGGATCCCTGAAAGTAATATCAATTTAAAAAAATAATGATGATACAGGTTAATAAACTTTTGACAGTTGTTATAATACAAACCAAAACGTCGATTTTTTGTTTCCTTTCTAACTTATCTAAACAATTATCTTCGACCGCTTTTCTTGCTGCTTTAAGTTGTAATAACTTTATTTGCTTGTCGGCATACCTATAATTAATAAAACATATTCAAATATTCAAATTACTGAATGATTTTCAAACAACCTTTCTGGACACTGAGAACTACTTTTATAAATATCTCCGTTATGCACACACTCCTTGCAGTAAAAAACTTTCCTATAATTGTTACATAACTGGCACCTATAATAATTAGGACTGATGCGGCTGCCACTGTCTAAGGACGAAGACAGCTGAAAATCTTTAGGAACTGATGTGCTGTCGTCTGAATTTGTAGTCGCCATAACAATATTTGTTTTCAATTGTTTTGTTATACAATTGTACTACCAGATAATAAAAAATAAATACCCTATAAGCACTAAAATGTAGTATCAAAAGTACCACCGATGGTCCCATCCCATATTTAAAATGTACTTAATTTTTTTTGTCAACAAAACATAAAAATAAATAAACAGTGAAATAATAAATCAAACATGTATCTAATTTTAAAATGAATACTTTTATGATATACATTCAAATTTCTTGAATGAAGATAAAGTTCGTATCCTTTAACACAACCAACTCATTATTAAAATAAATAATAATATGAAAATGGCTGCACCACACAGGGAAGCATTTCAAAAACAAATTCAGCAAGATTGGGCAAATAGAGAGTATATTGAAATTATTACTGTAAGCATTAAGAAAATAACCGACTTTTTAAATTCGTTTGGTAAGAGAAATTCGTTTCTTTGATATATTGGAAATTTATTTCGTTTATTGCAGATATGTCGTGTCGTTCAAAATTGGCAACATTAAATGAAAAATTAACCACCTTAGAAAGGAAAATAGATTATCTAGAAGCTTGTGTATGTATTTATTTATTTATAATGCCAATGCTCATGTAGGTGATAAGAACATTTCTTCTTTTTAGGTAACAAAAGGCGAAACGTTAACATAAGCTGTTTGCATTAATGTCCATTCTCTAAGTAAGCTTTAAATACATATTACTTTTTTATTTTATATATGAAAAACTTTTCTTGGAATTATTTATGAAATTTGATTAGAATACAATAATCAAACCAATTTCTGTATTTTTCTGTTCTGTCATAATAAGAAACGAGGTTATGTATTGTACTGCGATCAAAAAGGTAATTGTTTATAAATAGGAATTATTGAAAACATTCATTTTAAAATAAATTCCTTGCATAAATTATCTATAGATAGATTATTAAGGTAAAATTTAATGTAAGGAATTATACTGGAATATAATTTTCTTTTAGTTTAATATATTTTCAATATTGAAGTATGTGGGCTAGAAAACTTTACCCTACTCTGTTAAAAACAGTTACTACTGTTCATACAACTAATCAATCATTTTGGGCATGGTTAAATATAGTTTTTAATCGCGTTGACGAAGATCGTGTGAAAAGATTTGGCCCTGATCGAGCATGTGCAGAGTGGTTGTTGAGGAATGGGGCATCCGTAAAATTTTGTAAATCTTCTAGATATTTATCTGATTATAATTCACTGCCAATAGAAGGGAGCAAGTTCTTTCTAGAAGAAATAGATGCCACCGATTCATCTATAATGCATCATGGTTTCCCACACTTTGTTGGTTGCAAGTTCATAAGGAAAATAAAGTTTCATAAATGCATTTACCTGGAAAACGAAGCACTTGGCATGTTGGCACCTCTAAGGGAATCCTTATTATATTTACAAATTTCTGAGTGTAATAATATTGATAGTGAAGGCTTGAAAAAACTAGATAAGCTACACAAGCTGAAAGAATTGATTCTTTTCAATTTGCCCTATGTAAGAGACAAGGATGCAATTGTAAATTTCCTTCAAAACTATCTCCCATTATGCAACATAGATTTTAAAGAAGAAACACATAAAGAAGTAAAGACTACTATGTCATAAATAAAAACATATATATTATTTTACTCATTTATATATTTAATTTATTGTAGTTGTTTTTAACCACTAAGATTTTTTTAAAAGCATTTTTAAAAATTTGAAATTGGCTTGTCATTTCAAATTGTCACATGCACCTCAAAATTTTAACTAACAAATAACAACTAAAAATAAACAAATTGTAAAATGTACTTTTTGAATTAAATAAAAGAGTAGTAAGTAGGAAAAGTCAAACCATGTATTTCAATGAAAGTAAAATTATAAATAAGTTAGCCATCAAGCGTTACTTTTGGGCCTGGTTGAATATATCGTTCAATAAGTTAGATGAAGATAGATTAAAAGAATTTGGTCCAGACCGAACATGTGCAGAGTGGATACTACGGAATGGGGGTGCTGTACGTCTTTGTGACAATCCTGAAATCCTTAACGATTATAATAAGATTCCACCGGAAGGGAATAATATTTGCATTCAAGAAGTAGACGCAAGTAATTCATCAATAATGCATGTCGGTTTTGTACATTTTAAAAATTGCCGCAACATTGAAAAGTTAATTTTACATCGATGTGGCTATTTAGAGAACATTGCGCTAGGGATGTTACATCCAATAAAAGAATCATTAATGTACTTACAAGTGTCTTCATGTTACAATATAAGCGATTCCGGATTAATAAAGCTCGAAATATTAACAAGACTTGAACAACTTATTTTACGAGATTTGCCGTTTGTTAAAAAAAGAGAAGTTGTTTTAGAACACTTAAAAAAAGCTCTGCCTAAATGTAAAATAGAATTTGATAAATAATTCAAGTGTTGTAGAATTTAATTAATCTAGTTATACAGTATTAAAGTAATTTTTGCGAATGCATTTAAATTAAATTAATATGTAACGAATACATAGCCATAAACAAGATAATATTAAAAAAAAAATGATTGAAACATACCAAAATCATCAACCGTCTAGTTTTCCCACTGAATTTGACGTGGGAGATGATATACCAATGCCAAGTTCTCCTGTTTCAAGTTGTTTTAGTAACCGAAATAGTGCTGCTGCTTCACGAATTCTACTAAATTCTATACAGAAGGCCTGCACTTCGATAAATAGTTCCTACACAAATTAAATTCATTCTTAAAATTTGAGAAAAAGAATTGTAAAAAATAAAATAGCAAACAGGCAGAACTTTTAGCAAAGAAAGTAGTTTAAAAGGTACACAATTCAAAATAAGGGTATCTATAAAATCTGCTTTGACCTTAAGACTAAAAAAATGAAGCTCTCAATTATCATACTTCTCTAAAACCTCAATACACTGAATTTACCATAATTTGGAATTGAAATTACTGCATTATTCACATAATTTAGCAATTAAACATAAAGTTGCGAAAAAAGTTACATCAGGCATACAAAACAATTAACCTTTGCATGATTAAAAAACTTGCTTATCATTATTTAAAGTGTTACAAGAATATTATCATGTAGACTACAGAAGCATGTGTCCTATTAATTACCTGAACGTTAATTATTTTATTTCTTATCAACGACTGCAGAAAAACGCAGACGAGTCTGACAAGTCGATTTTGCATGTATCTATCCTTTATAGTTTCGCACGTTGATATACAATTGGAAATATACAAATGTACGAATTCAGTTGGCAAGTCGACAGTCGTGGTTAATCTGTTAACAACTTCCATTGAATGGAGTGACATTTCCATATTTACTAAGACACTAAAATATTCTGTAATCTGTTTTGATTGCATCAACTTTAACAGCACTTCTATAGCTATTAATGGATTATTTTCGACCAATTCCGGGAGCTTAAATAGAAAAATAATATACTATGTATAATTTGTACAATTCCAAAGAATAAAAGTCAACCTTAGAAGGTGTTAAACCAATATGGTAAACTAATTTGGGCTCACTATCAAGTTCATGAAGTAGTTGTTGCTGTTGTGGAATTGTTAGTGCAGATTTAAAAGCTTTTTGCATCAATAATCGTGCTTCCTGCCCGGCTAAGTTTGGGACACACATTGTAGTATCATAGGCAATGAGATGTTCCTTTGGTGTTGTTACATTTAACCAGACAAGCTGCAATATACAACTTTTTGTGAATGACTAATTAGATAAATTTATGAATTTGTCTACTTCATCTTTTGCATTATGTAGTGGTGGCATGAGGGTTAAAAATTCTGGTTTATAAACTCTATATAAATTCTCATTTGTAACTATTTTCTTTGCTATGTCTTCTTTTTTGTCCGATTCAACTGTATTCCTGAATAGAATTTTACTTCATTTACATATCTTATAAGAACGAAATTTTTACTTTACTCACCCTTTACCGGACTTCTCTGGAAATGGCAAAATTGCTGGAATTGCACTTCTACAAGTTTGGGGGAGTTCAGATTGCTTTTCCGCAATGGCTAGTTGAATGGCAGAAAGATCAATGTTAATCGGTCCAACATTATCAGAATTTATAATTTGCAAAGGTGTCTTTTTCATAATCTGTACGAAAGATAAAAAATTAAGTTTTAATTTATAAATAATTTTCTATTGACATACTGCATCTTTTGGTATATCTGAAATCAATTGTGCTATAAAATGCTTTTCAGGAGCACCAAGTTTTGGTAGTTGTCCAGGATATTCGAGTTTGGGAGCACCCACATTACTTTGATGTTCTGGAGGATTCTAAAAGTAATTTCTGTTTAAATCAAGATTATTTCCTTAAACCAAGTTACCAATAAATGAATAAAGACAGTTGCAAAAGGACTATTGATAATAGATTCTCCCTTGTATAATTCATAAATTAACGTAATTGCAGCTAAACGTTGTTCGGGAATTTCAAATAGATCTTGCTGTAGTAGTACAACCAAACATGATCCCACTAAAAGGTTTAAATTATTATCTTTAGAGTAATTAGTACATTTTTGTAAACATACCTTTAAAGTAATCAGACTGATCAAATTTTTTTAAGACTTCTGTAGATAGATTTTCAAAGGATTGAGATTTTACGTTGTTTTCTGAAAGAACACTACAACACAGGCAAGTTAAAACTTTTTCACTATGCAGTAGTATAACACTACATCAGTTGTACTTACTTTAACAAAAGATCACATTGTTCGGTTGTTAGGGCCATAATCACAAAATCCGAAAACACTTTAATGATTACATATTACTACATTTTAATTTTTTTGGGACGAAAACAATCTAATAATGTACTAGCTTAATACTAGCATTTTACAGGTTATGTCCATGTTATGTCATTGGTCATATTTTACAAATTTTACAATAGAGTCTAATACATAGACATAGATAAGGTCTATGAATAGAGCATAGATTTAGCAATTAGTTGCTTTCAGAAAACCGAGGGCAAACTTTAACGTGTAGAACGTTCAAATACTACATTTGCAATTTTAATAACTTACTTTTTTCTAAGGACATAGGAAACTAAAATGAAATTCATCTTAAAAGAAAACAAAAACATTTTATTGGTAAAATAATAACTATTTATACAGTATTTAACTAAAATTAGTTAATCATCATCTGAATTAAATTGTGAGGAGACCCAAGCAAGGCTCCATTTAAGATTTGTTAGCATAAATTTTAAAGCTTTGGTCCACTGTTCTTCAGAGTTGAATTGAATCCTTTAAATGAAAAAAATAAGTAACGTAGTTATGTCTAAAAACTGAAAAGATAAAACATACTTCACAGAATAATTTACTTCAGAAGACGAATCTTCTATTTTTCCTTTATTCATTCGATAAGGAAGGCGAAAATCTTTATCACCTTCTTCTACTTTCTCTTTAAACTGCTGCAAACAATCTAAAAACGCTACCATTCCAGAATCAAATTTTGTATCCCATAAGAAACGAAAACCGCCTGATCCATATAGCGGTAGTTCTTTTTGCTCTGCTATGACCTATTAAGTAACAATTTGGAAAAAATATAAATTAATTGTTGTAAAAGCTCACTTCAATATATGAGTGGTTTCCAAAAGGAACTAATTTGTAACGCTCAAAAGTTAATCCTATTTTTCTGGCTAAAGCAGCCAATAAAAGTGCAGTTTGTCCCCATGCTGCATTTATTTCTGACCAATCTACAGGAGCTGAAGGAAGACGTCCCAATCGGAAGTTGTTTATGGTGCCAAAATGACCTGCATGCCATATGTGAAAAGTTGCATTGAACACATTTGTTTTTTTTAATTTATCTAACTGAGACTGTGCATAGGATAGTTGACACTCTAGGCTTCTGTATTCATCTTCAGTGAGCAAATAATCTTGTCTATGACGAGTGTATTCTCTCCATAGTCTATCTTCTTCATGCTTGAGTCTTTCAGCTTCTGTTTCTTGTTCATTAATGGCAGTTATGATTTTTTCTTCTTCTAACTGAAGGTTTTCTAGTTCTATAATAAGACGTTTTTCTTCTTCCTCTAGTTCTTTCAATTCATTCTCAAGAGAGTCCAGTTGAGGTTGTTGGGTATCCTCTTCAAGTCTGTTTTTAATTACAATTGAAAATGTTTTATAATAGATTTTACTATCAATACCTATAATTTTTATATTGTATGGGTACAATCCAAAACTTACTTTTTTAAATATTCATAGTAATCTTCATAATCCTTTTGTGTCAATTCTACTTGTTTTTCTAATAAATCTATTAGAGTATCAGTACATTCTTCACATAATGGATGATCTATATTTGAATACCCCGACAAAGTATCAAACAAGGCAGCTTTCACCTTCAATTGTAATAACATTAAATTAGCTTTAATAAGTAGAAAAGCTTGTATAGGAAAATAATCTGTATGTTCTATCTTTATTTAATTTAATGACTGACAATATATATAGTAAACTTATTGACCTTAAGCTGATTGCTAATAAGTTCTACTTCTCCAGTGTCTGTGACAAGCATGAAACCATTAGCACCATTGCCAGAATCAGAGAGACGACAAGGCTGCACAAAGTGATCTAAACTAGTTGTTTGTGAGTCCAAATCTATTTCTACATTATTTTGAACTGGTACTAAAACAAAGTATTTGTGTACATAAAGCTAAACAGTCATTTAAAACTCTGTATTTACTTACAATGTAATTCTGCTAATGTATGCTCACTTAGGTTGTTAAAAGAGTCATCCAATCTCAGAGGTTGTAAACATCTTTGACAAGCAAATGAGACAAGAACTTTTTCTTCTGCCATTCTCATCATTCACATTTTGAATAACAAATAAGTACGCTGATTAAAACAATTTGCACATTTCATTAAATTTAAAATTCAAAATAGAAGCACAATGTAGCAGAACTCGATTTATGCACACAAAACCCTACTAACAGCTGATTCCTTTGACATTTCACTGCATGCATGTCAATAATATGATGTACTGATTCACAAGATATATTTACCCAAATCATTACTTTCTAAAAATAAATATTTTTCAATTTTTCCACTACTGAATTTTTCTTTTAACTTGTTTTTATTATTTTTGATAATATCCAAGAATAAATTAGAGTTTAGAACACAAATACATTGTAATTAATTAAATTTGGTATTTTAACAGAAAATATTGTTAAAGAAATAGATAATATCAAAAATTGGAAAATTAGAACAAAGTTAAAGCGCGCATTTAATTAATTGAGTATTGTTATCACATTATTAACATTCTTTGTACTTATTACTTTTTTTATATTATATTACCTACAGGGCACCTAAATTTAAAAACAAATAATTTCTAGATAAATGACTTAGTTTAAAAAATTGAAAGTAGAAAATGTTTAACGAAAAGAATAACATAAATAAAAAGAAAAAAAATTAATATTTTAAAACTTTCCACGGTTTTGATGATTTTGAAGAAAGCAGCTGATTGGAAGTACATTACGTCACCGATAGGCTATTTATAGAAAAGCGCACGCGTTGCGCGTAACTCTTAATCCGCCATTTTTTACGGTTAAACGGGTTATTATTGTCAATTTTTTAATTGTTAAAAAGCAGCAGGCAATGATTATTTTGTGAATAAAATCGAAGCAATTTTGCTCTCACCCTTCACATTATTCATAGGTAAGCAAGGGTTAGCTGTAAGTCGTTCACGTACGTAGAAACGCACTCTTTTGTTTGACAGTATTTTGTCAAAAATTGATAGGTAAACAAATTATTATTATTTTAAATTGTTGACATCTCATTTTAATGCAGGTTTTCTTTATAGAGATGTTTATTTTCTATCTAAGATGAAGTTGAGCTAATCAAAGAGAGTTAAAAGCATACATAGCTCGCAGCATGGGAGCATTTCTTGATAAGCCAAAGACAGATAAGTTCCAGGAGCATGGAGAGGGCAACGGACTCAGGTATGGGGTGGCCAGCATGCAGGGCTGGAGGGTCGAAATGGAAGACGCACACATGGCGAAAACTGATCTCGGAGGTGCTTTAAAAGACTGGTCATACTTTGCTGTCTTTGATGGGCATGCAGGTGCTCGGGTTTCCGCGCATTGCGCTGAACATTTACTCGATGCTATCATGCAAACTGAGGAATTCCGAGAAGATGTTATGAAGGGGATTCGCAACGGGTTTTTAGAATTAGATAGCAAAATGCGCTCGTTACCTGAAATGTCATCTGGAGAAGACAAAAGTGGTTCAACTGCAGTCTGCGCGTTCATTTCACCTCGTCTTATTTATATTGCCAACTGTGGCGATTCTAGGGCGGTACTTTGTAGGGATGGAAATCCCGTTTTCTCAACTCAGGACCACAAACCAGGATTGCCTACTGAACGAGAGCGAATTATGAAGGTAAATTTAAAATTAGGCAGCTTTCAAACTTCAGATAAAAAACAAATTGTGTGATGAGGGTCACTTAACAGGAAATCTGATATTTACATGTTAGCTTCTATTAAAACAGTCATATATTTTTAATGAGGAATTAGGGCTAAATGAAAATGATGATGATAATCTTATATTTAGAGAATTAACTGAAATAAATATATATCCATCGAAATTTTCATGTTTGGTTTTGAAAAATGAAAGTTATAATAAAAGTTGTGTAATCTTGCATTATTTTGATACTTTTGGATGTTTCAGTTTTAATTATTAAATGAGCCTAGCATTTTTAGCTGAAATAGTTCCCTGAAAAATAATGAGAGGATAAGTATCTAGTTACTCAATAAAATAGTAGTAAATTTAAAATTTTTGAATTGTATGAATTTTTTACTTAGTATTAAAAATCAACTAGGCATTTTATTGTTAGTTTTTTGCTATTGGTTATTTATGTATTCAGAACTGTTAGTATTGCCTCAATTTCTGATGTAATAAGGGTTTGTTTTGAATGATGTTTTTTAGGCTGGAGGAACAGTAATGATTCAGAGAGTGAACGGCAGCCTGGCTGTGAGTCGAGCCCTTGGCGATTATGAGTACAAAAATGTTGAAGGGCGGGGTCCTTGCGAGCAGCTGGTGTCCCCCGAACCGGAGATTTTCGTTAGAGATCGTGACGATAACCAAGACGAGTTCTTGGTGCTCGCTTGCGATGGAATATGGGATGTGATGAGTAATGAGGATTTATGCCAGTACATACATTCGCGACTCTTGATCACCAGCGATCTTGTTGAGGTCACCAGTCAAGTCATCGACACTTGTTTGTATAAAGTAAGTTTCTTTAAAAAAACATTTGTATTTCTGTTTTGGTATTCTTCATAATTCAAAATAGCACAACTTTTACTAAATAATTTTAAATGATAATTGATAAATGTTTACATATAACTAAATAACTTTTTGATGTCATTAAGGTTGTTTTAAGATTTATATTTTAAAAAATTGTAATTTTTTTAGGGAAGTCGCGACAACATGTCAATTGTACTGGTAGTGTTTCCCGGTGCTCCAGCTCCAAATCCTAACGCAATCCAGGCCGAAAAAGAACTGGAAGCAACTTTAGAGAGGCGCATAAAAGGTTGTTTTAATTTTATTTAATATTTTCTGTTTCTGTTAAGGTTTTCTTTCTCTTGTCTGTTAAGCAATGTGTGCTCTCTGCTCTCTTTCTTCGTAACTGCTTAGCCTAACTGTTTCTTTAACACCTCATCTTTCTATTTTTCTGTTTCTAGTCATAAATGGGGTGGTTTTATTATTTACATTTTCCTTTTTGGTTGTTACTATTTCCTACCGAAATGAGTATTATCTAAATTTTAGTAAAATCGTTGGAATGATTTGTTCAGAATCTTTGCGCTTTTGAAATGGACCTATTTTCAGAACGTTGGATTTATTTTAATTATTGTAATGTGGTCATACTAACAGTAAACTTTAATGAAATAATTTGAATAAAAAATAAATGCGAGTCCCACGATAGTCGTCAGTGATGTGTAATATCTAACTTCGGTAACCAGAAAAATTAATTTGTTAATATTTTTTTGTACTAATGACGCATTAAAAGGAATTACATAATTAAATTTTGAATGTATACGGTATGATAATATCAATTACAGCAAAAGAAGTATATATCAACATAACACCTTTAAAATTGTTAATTTATATTAAAACTAATAGTTTCACGATTAAATTTCATGGAAATGATTCTTGCTGTTCAACACCAAAGTTACCTGATCGAACGGCAGGCAATTCTACCTTTTTTCTTTTGTTGTTCATTTGCCCCCCCCTCTCACTTCCGATCACAGAAATTCACTCTCACATATTTACATACGAAGCAGTAAGATGTTACACATCAAAAATTTTAACTTTGTTTTTTAGAATCATTTTATTTCTTTTACCAAATTACACTTCCTTTTTCTTCGGTAAACTGTAGACAATGATTTTATACAAAATAATAGTATAATAATGTGTTGTTTAATTTTTTGGTTTAAGATAAAGGTCCATTTTAAAATGCATAAGCAATAAAACGTAGTAAGGTAGAACATTAACTCAAAAGTATTACATGTTTAAATCAGATTTTATTCTTCGTAGTATTATTATATTAAAATCAAAGTCCAATTTTAGATAGTTTAATAGCAATATTTCATGTAATAGTTAGTATTAATAACTTACTTACTTATGCCATCGTCAAAAAGCAATCGTAGTTTTTAGGACGTACAAGATCTTACTTGTTAGGTAATTTCAAAGTATGTAAGTAAATCGTTGGGAATGTTTAGTATGGTGGGTGAAATTTTATATAGAGGTAATTTTGTCTCGTTGGATTGATTTTTACATATTATTGGCGATGTTAATTATGCTAATAGCAATTGATTTTGCCCAAGTGTAACAAAAACAATGTTAATTACTTTTTTTTAACATTTGAGATTAAATATTTCCTCTCTTTTATTTTTCACTTCTTATAATGCATAGTAATTACAGTTTATTGCTATTGTCGTGATTGACATTGTGTCTTTTTGTGCCTAAAAGTTAAACAATATTCACGGTATTCGAAAAAGGGACAATATAATTGTCTATAAAAACAGTTGTAGTAATACCTAAAAATATAACCGAGCCAGTGTAGAAGTGTGGCGATAAAAAAGCAGTATTTGAAAAGTAGTATTTTTACAAAAATAAAGCGATATTTTTCCCCAAAAAAGACGTGATTTTAAAATGCAGTATTTCTAAAAAATATATACAAACGTTTATAATATTCTAGTCTTAAAATTTACTAGTTCCTTAGATTTAATTTGTGAAGGTACCNGAGTGAACTTTTTTTAAATTACGTAAATTTAACATAAACAGCGTCAAAACTGTTATATGTGATACTCGATAGTGTGATCCGTTTAGTTTGTTCATGGTATAGGGTGGTCTAGCATAATTAATATACTGTTAATGTTATGCGGGGTTTCAGGTATGCGATGATCACATTATCGAGTGTTTACTGCATATAGTTTGCGTACATACGGTTAAATCAGTTCTGCTTTTCAGCTTTGCACATCTCTAAAGTTGGATCCCGTACAATACGTTACTTTAAAGGGGCTCATAATTCAGGTAAAGATAGTTTTAATTTAGAAAGCTATGTTGTGATGGTAATTCAACTTCCTCTTTAGGATCATTTCTCTCAGGGTAGATTAAAGTTTAGTGAAACAGAGACTGCCTTCTGCGTTTGTCACAAATTTCAGTCTGTTTTTCGTTTGCTCTAAGGGTCTTTTCCGTCTGGGTATCTTTCTTTTTATGTACCTGTCCTGTATTAAGTTCATATATATTATCAAATAAATAAATTATTGAAACGAATCGGTGTTTTATTATTTTATTTTTTTCTGTTTCCAGAAATTATCCAACAAGATGGAGAGGTGGAATTTTCCCATGTGTTTCAACGACTCACAACCCTGGATATTGACGGTTTGCCCCCCGGGGGCGGATTGGCTGCAAAGTAAGTACACATTGACTTGTTACATTAAATCAAAAGAATAATGGCACAATTGTTATTTTTTATTTGCATTTTTAGTAGCAGATTTGAAATTTTACTACTACATGATTTTAAAATGAAAAGCCATAGCCATAGCCGGATAAGCACGGATGATCTGTCCTAGAAATATTACTAATGCATTTCCAAAATATTAAATTGGAAATTACACTGGCTTACGGATTAAAAATGTTTTATTTTTTTTATTTACTTTATAAATGGTTGAATACATCAATAAAAACGAAAAAGTATGTGCGGTTGTCGCTTACTTTACGACGAGGCAGAAGTAGAAAGCGTTACTTGTTACATAGTTGTAGCCATGATTATAAGTTTAACAATATGATATTACATAGGAATATTGCGATAATTTTTATTCGATATGCGGATGTTATTCTTATTCTAATGTGCGTTTTCTATTTCAGGCGACCATTTATACAGAATGTTTTTACGGAACTGTGTCCTAAGCAAGCTGAAACTGTAAGTTTGGGTTACGACTTTAATTACTAACCTAATAAATGATTACAGTTCACGTTGGGCTCCCTTGCATCTAAACAAAAACGCCAATATAAGTAAATAAAAATAAAAAAAGGTGAAAACCGTACATATATTATATTTTTGTACATAAATATAACAAGGAATATCGACTGAGACAATGAATATGGTTTACAATTTTTTTAAAAAAAAAAAAATTCACGGTAGTAATTTGTTTATATGTAAGAGGATGCCGATTCATGCCTGTTTATTAAGGACTATTTCTATTTTTTTTATTGTGGGCAAATAAAGCCTTGTTCATGATTTATTTATTATTAATTCGTTTATTGTGTGGTAATCTTTTGCGCGTTTTAATTTGCCATGTTTTAATAATATTCTCGTTTTATTTTTTCTGTTCGTATATTTTTGTATACATATATTTACATTTGACTTGACTGCTCTTGTTCTCATAGCAGTTTCTGCTTCTTTGCACTGAAAGGGGATTGTCTTTACTTACTCTTCTGGTGAATATTTAGAGTTGGGGTTTCAGAAAAAAATCACTCTCAAAAACTAGAGAAAAGGGAAACACTCTCTTTCCCTAAAAAGTAGTTGTCAGTAGGTAGCGAAAAATTTTTTGGAGTGATTTTGTTGCCTGGATCCCTAATTCAAAAAAAAAATACTATCCTTCTTGCGTATCTTTTTTTTTGCTTTTTATTTCCTAAATAATTTTATTGGGTCTAATGCTGGAGAGGTTCAGTGCAACGTTGTAGTGTACGGGCTTTTTTGGGTTTATTTTTATACGTGGTATAGATTGATAACGGATATTTTTGTAATTCTATTTATAAAAAAAGAATGAAAAATATGCTGTTGATTATCGGTGTTTAATCGAAATTTTAAGGTGAACTATTTATTACTCATTTCAAATCCAAATTATTATAATAGTCCTACCGATCAAAATTAATCTAGAAAAGTAATACAAATTGGCATTAGTTAAATTTTGCTGATAGTCAACAGTTAAAAATTCAAGGAGCATGTATCTATTACTAGTAACTTAACACCCTGCTTGTTGATTTCTAACAAAAAAATAATTAAAGAGACTTATTAGTTGTCCAATATTGACATGCAGAATTCTAACTTAGTAAATCACTATGTTGTTACCTGCTTAGAGCGTACTTAAAGTAGAAAATTATGTGTATATACTTACTTTATTAAAAAAGAAATTCTGTAAAATTATATCTAGTTAACGAATAAAACTTTTGATTGGGTTTAACGTTTTTCTGTTTGTTTTCTGTTTTTTTTTTTTTGGGTAGTAGTTGTTAAAAACATACATTTTCGTTAATCTGTTTGTATAGGTAGTTAAAAAATCTTAAAAAGCGCATTTTTTTCTCCTTAAAATTTTTAGAAGACACCGAAATAAGAAAGTAGCCAGTATTTCGTAGCCTTAATGTTCGTAGTTCTGGCGTGTTTTAGGATTGGTTTTTCTTTCTGTGGTGAATACGCAGACAAGAGTCGCTTATTCTAACGTTTCGCCGACTACTATGGCTTAAAATTTACCTCAGCATATTCCCAGAATTCCGTGAGGATGCCATCTAGAGGAGTTGGCGAAACGTCGGAAACGACTCCTTGCGCAGATTAATAGCGAGAGAAGATCCAGTCATGGATAAAAGCTAAAAAACTCGAATATTGAACCCTCTTCGGATAAATATATAAATTTATATTTATGTTTGTACTAATATATTAACTGTGGCATTTTTGCATGATTAGATAAATTAGTTAAAAAGCGTTAAAGATAGTAGACAAAATTTGATTTTTTTGAATAAATTTTCAATGCAATTCTGCTAAATATTACTGTATTATGTACGTAAAGTGTACATATATTGATAAGTTGATTAACTTGATTAGTTGGAATCCCATTATTATATTACTTTCGATTAAAGTTAAAGTTAAACTTTATTATGAACATTAACTTCGTTGTTCTTGATACATGTTCATATTTTTTTAATAATTTGCAGGTAAGTTATGTGTATATGTAAATGGAAGTAACGCTACATTACATAAAGATTTTGTTTTACGATTTATAATATATTTAACTGAAATAAATTTTGGTAAATGGATTGATGAATTTGAAAAAAGGTGTTGTCTTTCAGGATTCTGATGGAGCCCAAGAAAATGGATAAATTGAGACATGAATGGAACCTATCTATATTTTGTAACTATATTTACATTTTTTTTGTTATTTTGTGACCATGCTTTAGTATATTTTATGTTTAAATGAATTCGATTTGATCGTTTTAATTTTCTGATAAACTGTTTATTTTTATTTTGCATAAAAGTTCTGTTTTTTGCAGTTATAACAAACAGATAATTTCTATCACGAATATTGATAGCGATCCTGTTGTATATAAGCGACTGTTGCATGTGAATTATTTCAGAGGCGGTAATTTTACATGAAAATGTGTACATAATACTTAACCAGTCTTATTATTATTTTTTGTTATTTAAAATTATAATTTTCAGTCCTCATCTTCGATTTATGAATTTTGTAGATATGTTTGTGGTGGTTTACAGCTTGTGAAAATAACTGTAGTGTAAAATTTATGGCTTTCATTTTTTCACTTGTAGTAAATATATTTTTGTTAAAGGAGCAGCAAATTAACATCTCTATGTGAATCACCAAATAGTGCATAAATGTGAATTAAAACTTGAATATATTTTTAAGTACATAATTGTTTGTAGAAAAAATAAATGCATTGATTTAATTTACGAATTCTTTTTATGTTTCTACTATTCCTGCTTTCAGTGATAATGTTGAAGAAGTCGGTAATTAATTATAAATTCAAATCAAATTTTGCGCCTTAAACTACCATTGAGTATATACATAACGCTGTTCACTAACATTACCATAGTTATGCTAGTCATTAAACCGCTTATATTTACATTTTGACAACTTAAGAATTAACAGATTAATACACTTTTGTTATTTTAAGACAATTTGTTTTCTTTTTAAATAAAGTTTGTTTAAGAACTTTTACCATTGATTTTAATTTTATCGGTAGTTCATTTCAGTAGTTCAAATGCGCCATCTATTTCAGTTGAAGAAGTTATTGTTGGACTGACGTGCGTGGTGTGTGTGCGTGTGTGTGCCTAAAATGGCTGGTAAGCGTGATTTGTAAATAATTTGATTTAAATACGATAACCTCTGTTAAAATAACATCTTTTTAGATTTATTCTGTAAAGTAAGTTGTACATATTGTCAAGATGAAATTAACGGCTTAAGAGTGCAATGCTGCGTTTGTCCTGATTTTGAAACTTGCCTACAGGTAAGACCGTTTGTAGAAATGTACCCATTCTTCTCGTTGAATGTGTATTGGGTAGATGTCGCTTATAACTTTTTTGATTAATTTTTAAAATTACTTTTATCAGTGTTTTTCGAGTGGCGCTGAAATTGGAACGCACAGAAATGATCATGCATACAAATTCGTGGTAAGTATAGTGTAAAATTTCTTCAGTTCTGTTGCATTCTTACAAATTTTTTGTTCTACAAAGGACCACTGTGCAGTTAGTATATTTGGGGGTAGGGGCACCTGGACAGGGCGAGAAGAATTGCAGTTATTGGATGCAATGGAGCATTATGGATTTGGTAATTGGGAATTTGTTAGCAGACAAATTGAAACAAGAACTGCAGAAGGTAATACTTGTATAATTAATTAATTTAGGATTAGTAAATGAAACAGTTATTTTCAGAAGTTAAAGATGAATATTTACGTCGATTTTTGGAAGGAAATATTGGTAAGATAACATGGACAGAAGTGGCCAACAATCGTCCTATTCTTACAGAACATACAGTTGAAGATAAGGGTCCCTTGTCTCCAACAATAATGTCAAGGTTACCTCCCTTGGATGCTAGTCCAGAAGAAGCAACACAGTTAGGGTACATGTCACGTAGAGATGATTATGAGAGGGTAAGGGAATAAGTAGTTCATTAAGACAACTTTGTTATTGGTGTAATTGTTACTCTTCAAAAGGAATTTGATATGGAATCTGAACAGTTAGTTTCATCCTTGCAATTGAATACATTTGAAGATAGTGATATAGAAATTGCACTTAAACTAGCTCAAGTAGACATGTATATTAGAAGATTAAGGGAGAGAGCTAGAAGGAAAAGAATGGTTCGTGATTATCAATTAGTTGCTAAGTTTTTTACAAACCAACGTAAAAATTACAACAAAAGGCCTCTAACTAAAGATCAAAGGTATAAATACAATAAACAATAAATTTTTTGATACTTATTTTCATATTGAAACATTTGTAGGGAGTTCAGGGACAGAATGAGGGTTTTTAGTCAGTTTTTGACTTCTGGTGAACATGAGAGACTCATTCAAAGCATAGAAAAGGAGCAGGAGTTAAGACATCGATTATCAGAATTATTTAAGTATCGAAGTCTAGGACTAACTACCCAAGATGAAGCAATTCATTATGAACAACATGCTGAATTCCAGAGGCAGCAAAAGGCTGTAAGTTTTTTAGACATTAAAGTTAGGTTTTTCATTCAGTTCAGAAGCAGATGTGGTATGAGTTCATATTCTTACATTTTTATTGATTTTATAAAGAAAGAAGTAAAAGTGGATCAATTTCAAAATGTGTATTTGATGGTTTTCTGTAGTGGTGGTTTTATTTTAACAAAATTTATTAGGATATTTGTAATTCAAAGGTATTTTTTTCTTCTACATTTCCTTAGTTTATATTACTCATTTTTACAAAATAATTATATGCAATAATTTATTAGAGAGTAAAGTGGTTGTAATTAATAAGGAATAAGGAACTTGAATGACATAGTATTATTAGTAGTAGCCCTTCTTGGGTTCTTTAGTTCATACATTTAAATTCTAGTGTAACAACTTACAATTAGAAATATAGGTATATGGGATTAAGAAAAACAATGGTTCAATTGGATCGTCTTTTTAACTAAAATGTTCAGGAAATGTTTTTTAATTGAATGGAAAGATTAAATTTAAGCTATAGGTTATTAAATTACTTGTTAAGTATTTAGATAATACAATCATTCAACATTCTAATTTACTTAGTTCCTCGCAAATTTTTCTCTCATGAACTGCCATGGGGCAGTTTCTATTATCACCACAAGAATTTATTTGTATGATAGTGTTTTCACTACATTTTTTAATTCAATACTGAACAGTTTGTAATTGTAAAAGCTTGAATTGCATATTTGTGCTCATGATCATCGCCAATCCTGTTTAGCGCACATCTTTCTTTTTTTTTGAATTAATTGCTAGCGACCATTTGTATTGTAATTACCATTTCAACAACAATATTTGTTGTCATTTTGATGTTAACGATGCAACTGCAACACACCTTGCTACCACTACAATTACCACCGTACCGCATATTCGTCTCATCTTTCGTTGTTCACTTGTCATCATGGTTTGGTTTGTGTGTGCAGGCTAGAGTTAACAGAAACACACATGTGAACAGACACAGATTGTATCAGTTTACATTTCACTTAGGGCAGCCGTGGCTACGAAATGTCACTCCCGGAAATTCAATTAAAAAACGGGTAAGTTTTTTCTATTTACTAGTATCTTTTCTTTCTATTTCTTTTTTTTAACAAGTTTATGGCTTGATTTTGAGTTAATTTTTCCTGTGATTTTACTCATCGTCATTGCTTAATTGCTTTTGTATCTTCATTTGCGGCATGTTTGTTATGTTCTCTTTTAACTATGAAATAATACTGAAATGAATTATAATAAAAGGTAGGTTTTAAAGTCATCACCCATTGGTTAACTTGTGATGTTTAATTTCATTTTCAGTCCATATTGCTTGCAGTTTTAAAACAATTTATTGGTTTTTATCAAGCACACAAAAGCATAAGTATTTAAGGTGGAAATGTAAGAACCAGGGATTATTTGTGTTAATGCTTATCAGTTAGTGAATATTAATTGTTTTAAACTTAAAAGAATTCATTTATTTGATTGCTATTAGTGATTATTCAGAATAAATAATTATAACTGTTGGTAAAATATAAAGTTCGATGTGAAATAATGAAGAATACGATTATGCAGTAATTAGTAATTGAACAGTACAATATTATATATGTTTGTTTTTGTGTACATTTACATATATGTATATTCTATATTGTATGTCCAGAAGAAACGAGGACGTCCAAAATTTCATCGGAGAAAAATCCATGTGGCTTCAAGACGGCGCATCCGAGAGCTTCAACTTCAACAACAACAACTTCGACGACAGCATCACGAACAGTGCAGCTGAAAGCGTCAGCTTGTGTCCCGAAAATCTATTGTCACAGCAGGAAATACAAGTATGCGAGTTGTCTAGTTTTAAGAACTATTTTTGTTTATAACACACTCACACAACACATTTTTAATGAGTGAACTTTTTTTAAATTACGTAAATTTAACATAAACAGCGTCAAAACTGTTATATGTGATACTCGATAGTGTGATCCGTTTAGTTTGTTCATGGTATAGGGTGGTCTAGCATAATTAATATACTGTTAATGTTATGCGGGGTTTCAGGTATGCGATGATCACATTATCGAGTGTTTACTGCATATAGTTTGCGTACATACGGTTAAATCAGTTCTGCTTTTCAGCTTTGCACATCTCTAAAGTTGGATCCCGTACAATACGTTACTTTAAAGGGGCTCATAATTCAGGTAAAGATAGTTTTAATTTAGAAAGCTATGTTGTGATGGTAATTCAACTTCCTCTTTAGGATCATTTCTCTCAGGGTAGATTAAAGTTTAGTGAAACAGAGACTGGTCTTGAGCCTAGTGTAAAAGAGGCGGTGACGCAATATCTGAGCTCCAGCGGATGGTTGCCCAGTTTATCTGCCGCATAATTTTCTACTGCCGTTTTATTATATTGCACGAATATTGCATTCAGGTATTGTTTTAAGTGTTCATTTTTTTAACAAGTGCACAGGGACATGTTCGTTTTTTTTTAGGTTTAAATGTAATAATTGGATTTAAACGATTAGAATAAGTTTTTAATTCAATTTTGATTTTTTTATGTATTTATAGAAAGGTTGCATTTTCTTTTGGTGTTTTGCAATCTGCAGTTTTCTTTTTGTTTTTTAGTACTTTTATTTATTGAAAGTAGTTCGCAGGAAACAAGTTGTGTGCAAAAGTTCATTATAGGAATATATATTTTTTTATTAGATTAAAAGTCTAAATAGGTATCTAATAAAAATAATTTCTCTTTTTCTGTGATATAAGACTGGATGGTTAGTGGCGTTGTACTTGAAACAGGACAAAAATGTATATGATATGCTTTAAAGAGTAATGAGATTGTGAATCCCATGAAATAGTCAGGCTTATTGAACTTTTCAAGTAACAAATAATTTAATTAATGGATAAATTGATATGATTTACTGTGTAACGTGTTTAAAACATACATAACAATACATGAAGATTATTTTTAAGAATAAGTTGTATGATATTAACCAGGTAAAGTACAAATAAATTATGAAGTTAAATATTGATTTACTTTATTCTTCTTTTAAACCTGACTATTATTAAATAAACACTTAAAACCCACAAATTTTGGGTTTTTGGTGTTTATTTATTTAAGATGTAGGTGAAAGTTGGTTTGAATTAACACTATAAATTAATACTTCACTAATTAATTAGATAATTACAAAAAAGTTAATTGTCAGACTGCTGATGGTGTTTTTTAAGATGTGTTCGCAGAACATGTTTCTGATTGAATCCTTTGGGGCAGAGGTGACAAGTGTACGGCCTTTTCTCAGCGTGAATGTTTTCATGAGTCTTCAAGTTTGATCTGCTGTTAAATGCTTTTGAACATACTTTACACACGTATTTCCTTTCGTTTTTATGAAACAACATGTGCAATCGTAAATCTAAAAAAAAATTCTCATTAGACAAAATTGACATAATGAATATATTAAGAACAATTAAATATTTTAATTGGTAGCAGAATTATTGAAATTGTGGTAAATGATTTAGAAACGGAATTTAAAGAAATTAAAAAATGTGGAACCTCTATTAAAATTTATTTGAAACAATTTATTACAAGCAAATCAAAATAAAACACTAAAACTCGAAATTCCACATAAACCTTTAGAAATCTAAAATGCGTTTCGTCATTCTTACATTAACAAATGATTACAAATGAAACGGAATAAATAACGGGATATAAAAAAATATTAAAGTAAAACAATGATTTAGCCATATAAAGAAGATTTAAGCGTTTGTAAAATAACTAGTATTTACTACGCTAATTAAGCGTTTTTTTAACTTTTTATAATTTAATTCTTCATTACTCTATTTTTGCAGAAAGGGGGGGGGGTTACATCTCTGTAATTATACTTTGATCAAGTGATAATTATGTAATACCCTTTGAATATTATAAATTCTTGAAATAAAAATTTTAAAAAACAGTATATTAAGAAAAGTAAGTATTCTTCAGCAACATATTCACCTTTATAGCCTTTCCCACATAATGTACAAAGGAGTAGAGCTTTTCCTGGTTCGGGATGGTGTTTCTCGATATGCATTGTTAAAAGTCTCTTTCGTGAATATTTATTACCGCACATATTACATAGAAATCGCTTTTCCTGGCTGTGGCTTGCTAAATGTATTCTCAGTTCACTCCTTTCTGTAAACGACCTGGAAGTTAAAAAGATAACTTCTTTAGACAATGTTATTTATGCAATTACAATTGTTTTGCGTACTTGTTACAAATAGCGCAGGAGTACGGACGAATGCCTAAATGTCTTTTCATATGTTTTGATAAATTTTCTTGGAGGGTAAACTTTTTGCCGCAAGTTAAACAGGGAAAGGCACCTTTACGTTTATGATGAAGTAAATGATTTGTCATTGTTCTGAGCGACGTAAATTCTTTTCCTGTAAAACATAAGTGAAATGTTAAGTATTTTAACTGATCAATTCATTACCACATAGGTAACAGTCAATTCCTTTCCCATGGGTTATTTCATGTTTATATCGTACTTTCCAAGTATTTGCTTTAAAATTGCAAAAACGACATGTCAAGTCCTTGAATTCATCATTATCTTCCCCATTATACTGATCACTATCATGACTTGTCTCAAAAGAATCATTTACAGTGATATTTCTGTAACGAATGAAGACAGTATTTGTATAAACAAATAACTGTAAATATAAATATAGTATATGTACTTTTTTAAGTGAATATCTTTACAGGTATTCTTCTTTAATGCTGAAACTTTTATGGGCTTTATGAAATTTTCACGTAGTATAATACTAAAAATATCCTGCTTTTGAAACTTCACTTTGAAGACGTTTAGTCGCCCCTCTTGTTGTTTTAATGCATTAACCTTTTCTAAGATAGTTTCATCAGATTTTAACAAATGCTCGGACTTTTCACACTGCTGCTTAAAGGTATAAGCAATATTAGCTACCTCATAACATTTTAAACATATGAAACCTGGAAGGCCATCACTTTTAGTTATCTAAAAAATAAAATTGTTTTTAAAAGGGTACACTACTAATAATTTGTGTTTAAAAGTGTAGAATATTAATATTGTACTAATTACCCACTTCTATTGTTGTAAAACTCATAATTTTTTCAGCAATGTTGTAAACTGAAAACATTTCATGTTCTTCCTTTATGTTTAAACATATTCTACACATTTGTTTAATATTTATATACTCCATTACTTTAAAAATAATTGTTTTTTAACTGTATTTATGTTTTAAAAATATAAGGTTATACAGACGTCAAACTGGCAGTTAATAATCTAGATAGCTTCAAAACGTAAAGGTTTCTAACCATTACTAGTTTCAAAGTTGTTATAAGACTTTCACCTTCACCGAAATTCTCAGAGATGGCAACAGTATTTCGTATTTTTCATATTTTTTAAATATGATAAAAACTATATCTTTAAATTATTTTATTTACAGTATATTACATATATGTACATAATTAGTTAAACACAAAATAATGCTGAGGATTTTAAAATTTCTTCAAGTTGATTAGAAGTGTAAGGGTATACGTAGAAACAGCTTTCACGTAATTATCAATTAAAAATAGTAGTAGGTACTTATATGATGCTTTTGATCATTCCTATGGAATCATTGAGGTGAAATACTTTTTTTTTTTAATAAATGATTTCTTTATGAAATTGTAAATTTTATATTACGTTAAAAATCGTAGATTGCATAAATGCATACGTAGGTAAAATATTTATCATTAGAAATTATTTTCTGTGTAATAAGTATAGATTATATAAAGAAGGCACTAGTTTTGTAATTTTTTCAAAATGAGTATTTTATGTTCTATATACATAGGTACCTTAGTTTTATACAATAGTTAAGGTAAGATAGGAGACAATTTTTGTGTCAGAAGTTTAGTCAATATGAAGAATTTCTATACGAAATAGCTTGAAAAGGAACTAAGTACGGTAGTTTGTGTAAACCACCAAGGTTTTAAATCGAGCGAAGTTGCTTTTAATTAAAATTCTGCTGTTTCATAAGATTTTAATCATATAAAATAGTCGACTTTTGTAAAAAACTATTAGTTTATTCTTGGTGGTGTTAAGTAAAGGTGTTAAAGAGTCAAAGATGGCAAGAAAAATGGAATATTTTCACATATATAAAGATGTTAGAATGCCGAAAATTGGTATTGGATCTTTTCAGGTAAAACTCATTACAATAGGGAAGACCATTAAAATTTTTAAAACTTTTTGTAGTTGCTCATAAAGATATTACTTTATTCTTTTCTTTACTTATGTTAATATTTATTACAAATTGATTAAATTATTAATTTTTGTCTTTCTTTAATACAGTAACAAAATCTTGCCATTTTAATATTAACAACAAATAATATACGTTACGTAGATATATAAATGAATGATTAAATAAGGACTACTAAATATTAAATGCATTCAGACGGTTTTTAAATAAATACCTACTTTACAAAAAAATTAACATTTTCAGTTATAGATAATATTATCAAAAATGATAAAAATCTTTTGCGTTAACAAAGTCTACGACAAGTTTGTAAAGATTAATAAAACAATAAAAAAAGTAATAAATACTGAGTTATTAAAATATCCACTTTGAATACTGGATTTTATAAAAATGTTGTTAATCAGTTTTAATTTTAGGCGTAGAATTAAAAACTTTAGGAGAAAGCGGTCTATTTAAAAATGATTTTTTTTTAATCCACTGTTCACTAATATTTATTTAAAATACTTGCATTTAAAATGGAAATACAAAATAAAAAATACCTATTTTTAT